TAACGCTGGCGGGTTTGATGTCAATGTTAGGATGTGGTCATGTACACAAAGGAAGGTGATGTAAACAAAGGAAGGTGATGTAAACAAAGGAAGGCGATGTAAACAAGAGGTGAGGTAAACAAAGGAAGGTGATGTAAACAAAGGAAGGTGAGGTAAACAAAGGCAGGTGATATAAACAATTGAAGATGATGTAAACAAAGGAAGATGATGTAGACAAAGGCAGGTAAAATAAACAAGAGCCACTGGTAATTAAACCTGTTTCTTCCCGGCTAATTAATATAATAACTTCTCCCAGTACCGCTGTGAGAACCTGTAGCAGAAGTGTGTCACCTTGGGAGAGATTTTTGCTTGAGTTTCCATCTTTTTTTTTTCTTTATGTAAACGGTGAGTCAAAAGAACCAAACTAATAGAGAAATTATATCCCCCATGTAGACTCTTCAATAACCCTGCGATCTTTCAAGTGTTTATAACTGAATTAGTGATCAATGAGTCCAAAGTCAATCTATAATAATCAGTGAACTTTAAGCTTAGTGGAAGTTTACATCTCACTGTCCAGTCATCTGCTAAAGTCAGTTCGTCTCTCAGCTGAACCACGAACCCCAAGATTCTGATTCAGACTCGTGAATCCGAAGCATTTATGGATAGAATAATGTATCAGTCAACTGCTTCGGGTTCACGAGTCTGAATCAGAATCTTATGGTTCGTGGTTCAGCGGGAGAGACGAAAGGGTTTTTAGTAGTTTACTGTATGGTCTGAATACTTCTGAACATATCGTAAATGATTTCTATTGCTGCCTTTACCTCTTACACGCTGCCTCTTGCCTCTCGTATGACGGTAACATTTTTTTTTTACTATAAATTATTAGACGGGTAAAAAGTTCCTTGGCGTGTAGTGATCCATGTTATTTCTATATACACACTCACTCATACATACATACATACATACATACATACATACGTACATACATACATATATACATACATACATACATTTTATACAAACACATACACACACTCACATACACACTCACTCATACATACATACATACATACATACATACATACGTACATACATACATACGCACCCAAAAATAAACAAACACACACACACACACACACACACACACACAAGTCTTAAAAAATCATGAACTAAAATCAGGGTCCTGCAACCCATACAGGATACATAAAAACACACGCACATGTCTACATATTACACAGGATACATAAACAACACTCACGTACAAGATACATAAACAATATGTATCTACAATACCATACATGGTACACCACTACACGCTGGATACATTAAATAAACAGGTTTCTACAATCTATGCTGGAGAGGCACCGTGTGTGTGTGTGTGTAGGTGTGTGAGAGAGAGAGAGAGAGAGAGAGAGAGAGAGAGAGAGAGAGAGAGAGAGTATCTTTCTCCTTTCCACCAAAGTAAGGTAAGGTAAGGTAAGGTTAGACTAAAGACTAAATACAAACATCAAGCGCCTCGGTAAACACAAACAACAAAGGACCCAGCAAGCACCCTACGGAAGGCTGACCACATCCAGATCCGGCATTGACTACTGTGTTATTCAGCGGGGAGGACCAGACCGGATATATTAACCTATAAAATTCTGGGTGACACAAATCTAGGTGTCTTAAAACTTAGCATGACTACTGACTAAAACACACACACACACACACACACACACACACACACACACACACACACACACCTCTCTCTCTCCATATAGGTCAGGTACTAGAGGCCGCGGGATGTGTGTTGTCTGGCTACAGTTATCGAGACACGAGGAAGAAGACATTGACCATAATAAGGAACCGATAATAAACATGTCATGGGGTACAGGAAGTAAAAGTCTCAAGTAGATATTCCTTCCCAAATCTTCACCTGGTGGATATAAAAACAGGTCTTGGGTTAATGGTTTTTTTTTTCTGACCAACATCCAGGTAGAGTACAGGTGGGGCTGGACTATCTGATAATAATTAGCCTCTTTGGAGAAATATAAATTAACTTCACTACTGCTATTTTCGATTTAAATGTTAAGATACTACAGATGCGTGTACATTATCGTAGTTCAAAATAACATTTACATAAACACAGGTAATTTTTATTCCTTGGTGATTCAAAGAACTACAATAATATTAAAAATAACTGCTGTGGCCAACACCTATGATTATGCTCCTTCAAGATACTCTGCCTTCAACGTACTCAGCTTAACGAGGCGGCAGCTGCACCTCCCGTGAAGCTCTCAAGCGTAAAAAGGTGGCCAGTATACACCAGCAGACATAAGGTTTTTCCCCGCACGCCGCTGCCACCAGGGAGTGTTGTGGGCGCTACAGCTGCTCCACTCCGACACATAATGACTTAGATTATTGTATGTATCAGAGACCATCTTAATGGTTTTCTTCACAGCTGTTACATTCGCAATCACGCCACCAGGGGAATGATCTTCATCCCACCCACAAAAATTGTTAACCCCTTGAGTACGAAGATGTCCATCCCTTGAGTACCAGGACCTACAGCCACTGGAGGAGGAGGTTAACCCCTAGAGTACGAGAAGTCTTCTTACTTCTCGTGTTCTAACAATATCTAGGTCACGAGACTGTCCGAATACAGAAGAGTGACAGACAAGTGTTACCGGGTCCTAACGACAGCACGGGTAACCATCAGCGCCTGGCGTTTACCCCCATTATGTAATAATAAAATATTGAAGCAACGCCAGACGAAAGTTCACCAGCCTCCTATCTGCAATGGTCGTCTTTTATTGCACAAGTATTAAATTATTAACGGCTTCGTGTACCATCTGGTTATCAGAGGTAATAAAAGAGATTAACTTAGCAAGAAAAGAAAATTACTACTGAGGTGAAGTGCTGTCATAACCACCACCAGTGTCTGAGAGAGCTGCACCAACTACCATCATGGCTTGTACAGGTCACTAGTATTATAATAATAATAATAATAATAATAATAATAATAATAATAATAATAATAATAATAATAATAATAATAATAATAATAATAATAATAATAATAATAATAATAATAATAATAATAATAATAATGGATTCAGGGATAAGAAGGGTTGTGGTGTAGTGAAGACCAAGGATTATATATGTTCAGAAAGCTAAGTTAGTACAGTGTACATTTTTGGAACCTTTACACGGTGTCGTGTGTGTGTGTCCTCAAGCCCTCACCACCAGGCGGGAGTGTCACCCAATATGAACAGTTCCAGGAAGGCCACACCTATACCTGCTGTCCTGGTTCAGTGTACAGCTTCTTGCATGATACAACTAAACACAATAATCGTCTGTGCTGTCTCAGTCCTTATTATCACCCGGGGTATAAATCATTGTACTTTTTATTATTTTTACAAGTCCACTGGCCGTGCTGTCTGTATCTTAGTTCTAATGATAGTTCCAACTCTCACAAATTTCTAGGCAACAGGTTTTTGGTTATTGATTTACATAACAAATGGACAGGATGAATTCTAGGTGAGGACTCCTGCAGGTGCTGACAGTGAGTGACCCACGAGACTGTACTCTGCCGGACACCTAAGTCTAAGTCTTCGCCTCACTGGATATGTCAGTATTCATCCAACCGCCTCATTAACATGCGGCACGAAGGTGGAGGGCAGGATGGTGTTGGAATGAATCTGAGACTCATCCATAAACATAAGCGATTCTCGTTCTCGATTTTGTAGATAAAAAAAAAATATAACGGGAGGATACTTGGTGGAGACTCAGGGCCCATGACTCTTGTTCTGAGAGCCTTCATTAGTATCGGTAATGGCCGCTGGTCACCGTAATCAGGTCTAACCGGGGACGAGTTTAAGAAAATCAGGACTAGCTTTTGTGAGCGGCTGCCACCACCACCACATCCATAGTTGGCGGCCGGTGTAACCCGCTGTCAGGTCACATTACTCAGTTGGTTCCAGACATCTCACCAACGGTACGGCCTAACCATCACCTTCACAACACGATCTACCGCCCTATTTGCATCCAAGTCCCCAATTACTGCCACAGAGACAGAGACAAATGGAACAAAGCAACTGGCCCACGGTTCTCGCTCCCTGCATAAACGGATTAACACTGTCAAAAGCATTCATTTATTATGTGGCCAACCACTTAACAAGCCCCCTCTCGTCACTTGTTTCCTGTGAGCATGGAAAGGTGCTGGTACAAGCGCAAGTACTAGTACAAGTATAGGTACTAGTACTAGTGTGAAGGTACTAGTACAGGTATATGTAGGTACTAGTATAGGCACAGCGCACAGCTATTATTACAAGTACACATTAGTATAAGCACAGGTACAAAGACTTCAGCATTAACATCACCTTCACCTTGTACACACGTTAGAGAGAAGCGAGCGTGTATGCTTAATATTTTACTCCGTCCCAAAGATACTATTCACTGATAGTTAGATTCTTACTATTATTACTTCTAAAACTACTGCTACTACTACTATAACTACTATTTTTACTAACTAGGTTTACTTTACATCACACTACCCTCCTGCCGTCAGCTGTCAACAGTATCCGTCTCCTGACAGTGGACGAGTGACCTGCTGAGACTCGACGCTTGCTGAATTAGTCATCACATAAGGGGGTACACAGGTAAGCTCAGAGGTATCGTCTTACCTTAAAGGAGTTCAAGCATAGAACAAAGGATTTGAACTGACCTAAAAAGGGAATTTTAGGTAGGATAAAAATTTTGGATAATTACAGCGGATAGATATGAAACTCTACCTTTAAATTAACTCTGGAAAAAGCTTCAGTCTATCCCTGAATTTCACGACTGAATTCGCCAAGTCTTTCTTCAGGCTGCACGACATCAACTCCTCTGAATTTGTCCCTAATATTATTTATGCGTCGTCAGTTTTGAATACTTATGAGTATTTTTTGTATACTTTACGTGTTTAATATCTATTTATCTATCTATGTGTGTGTGTGCGTAATTTGTGTACACATATAATCAAAACACAAAGAGCTTACACTGGTTAAGTGGCCTTTGAGGTGCATTAGTAGTGGCCAGATAGCCGGGTGGTCGAGTAAGTAGGTGGACGGTGGTTGAGTAAACAGGTGGCCGAGTGGTCGAGTAAACAGGTGGCCGGGTGGTCGAGTAAACAGGTGGCCGGGTGGTCGAGTATACAGGTGGACAGGCGGTGTGTGTGTGGAGCTGGGTGGACGGATGTATTATTATTGTGTGGGCCGGGTGTGCGTGGAGGCCGGGTGGACGGGTGTGGTGGCCAGGCCAGGTAGACAGGTGTGTGTGGAGGCCAGGTGGACGGAGTGTGTGGAGGCCAGGTGGACAGGTGTGTGTGGAGGCAGGTGGACAGGTGTGTGTGGAGGCCGGGTGGACGGGTGTGTGTGGAGGCCAGGTGGACGGGTGTGTGGCCATGTGGAGGCCAGGTGTTGGACGGGTGTGTGTGGAGGCCAGGTGGACAGGTGTGTGTGGAGAGCCAGGTGGACGGGTGTGTGTGTGTGGAGCCAGGTGGACCGGGTGTGTGTGTGAGCCGGGTGGACGGGCGTGTGGCAGAGGCCAGGTGTGGGCGTTGTGTGTGTGTGAGGCCAGGTGGACGGGTGTGTGTGTGTGTGTGGAGGCCAGTGGGTGGACGGGTGTGTGTGTGTGGAGGCCGGGTGGACGGGTGTTGTGTGTGTGAGGCCGGGTGGAGGCCGTGTGGAGGCCGGGTGCTGAAGTATATACTGTACAAGAACAGGTAGTACAGGTTAGAGCAACAAGCACCAACCTGTAATCACACACAAGTTCCTCCCGACAGGTAAATGATGCCTCTGTCTGTCAGGAGGGAGGAGCAACTCCGAGTGTGGGAGAGGGTGGCAGGGTAAGGGGGTAGGGGAGGGGGCGACAGGGTAAGGGGGTAGGGGAGGAGGCTACAGAGGAAGGAGTGGCAAGGAGGGGGCGGCAGGGGAAGGGATGGCAAGGAGGGGCGGCAGGGGAAGGGATGGCAAGGAGGGGGTGGCAAAGAAGAGGTTGGCAAAGAGAAGGTGACAGGGATAGGGTGGCAGAGAGGGGATGGCAGGGAGGAGGGTGGCAGGGGGAACTCTATTAGTGGCGCAAGGTTCAGGTTCCTACGATAAATTATTCGTCGTAAGAGACTAAGTAAAAAGTTAATAATACACCAACACGTCTGAAATGTTTAAGTTTTAGGGCAACCAGAGAAAAACAGACAGACATACATTTTAAGACTAATAAATGATCTACTACTACTACTAATAATAATAATAAAGTGGTTTCACGTAAAGAATATAAACCAATCAACAGGTAAACATAACACCAACAATGTGTGGACCACTTGACCAACCAGGTGTGACGTAACAGGAAAAAAAAACCAATGGCTGCCATCCTAGACTCATTATATATCACATATTATGACGTCACACCACCACCAATATGTTGAGGTGTTGCCAAAAGATTATTTCTTAATTTATGACTTAATTTTTGTTTATTTTTTAACGCCACTCAAATTGTAGTTAAAAAATAAGATGAGTTGAGTTATAAGTTAAGTATAAAAATAAGAAATAAAAACATAACTGAAATAAACAAAAAAATACTTTAAAAACATTCTCTTAGCGTCAACCAAGGGACAAAAAAAAATCTATATGTTGTGTGAAGACAAGAGCATCCTAACCCCCCGCCGTTATCCCGTCTCTGGGTGTCGTCAGAAGTTACAAGGACACATTGTCACGAGCCTTGAGGTGACTGGTAGTTGGGGCAGTTATCTCCAGACAATTTTTTTTGAGCTAAATATTTTTTGATATTTTTATTTATTTTACTTTTAATACTTTTTTTTTTTGCTACTTTTGTACACCTCCCTCCCACCACCTTCTCTATTCCTTCTTCAGGTGTAGCGAGAAGGAGGACGGGCAGGTGTACTGTACCTACGTATTACCTATTTGGATGTAACTTATAATAACTCCACAAACTGTAACATCAGCTGGAGGTGACAAATACAGTAAAGTTACAGGAATTAATAAATACGAGGCAAACAGCAGTGGTCAGGTGGTGAGTGCTGTGCTGTGCTGTGCTGTGCTGTGCTGTACTAAGGTGATGTGTCGTCTGGTGAGAGATACAGTGGAGGAGTTTGGTGAGGTAGTGCTGTGTCTGTGTCTGTAACTGTCTTGTTCTCTCTATCTGTCTCTCACTCACACACTTTCTCAACGTGTCTTCAACCATACCTTGTTATTTAGATTTCTCTCTTATATCTACCTGTTCTCATTTTTCCTTTGTTTTTCCCTATTCCTCTCTCTCTCTCTCTCTCTTTCTCCCTTCTTCGTGTTTTTACCTCCATCCGTCTCTTTTCTCACACTCCCTGGCCGCCCACAGTCCACCTCGCCACACACACACACACACACACACACACACACACACACACACACCATGTTGACCCAGCACAAGCAGAGGCAGCCGTCGTGGACATCAACCAAACGTGTCTGTATCGTCTCCCTCACAGTGATCTTTCTTCATTGTTTAAGAGTGTCCTGAAGAACAATATTGTGTTAGGACCCAACTCAAGTGGCAGCTCCTCCACACTGTTCCTTAAGGCAACACTAAATTAAACTTGATTTTTTTTTTAACCCGAGAGAGAAACAACGAAAATAGTTACTTCTTCAGGCTATATAACCGTGTCGAGAGGCGGTGTTAAATTTACAATATTTTTTTTATAGTTTGTTGTTGTAAGTGGTGTTAGTCTTGACTTATAAACGTAGCAGCAGTCGCTATTTTAACACCTTAATATAACACACTCTGGAAGACACCCCGCTATACTGAACACTCTTCAATCACAATAATTACACACCACTGACACAAAATTCACAAAAAAAACAAACTTGTGAAATTTTTTGTAGGTTTCATCTCCTAAAGTTGATATTCATGTTATTGTGATATGTACCTCCCCCCCCCCCTCCCGCCTCTCCCCTCTCCTCCACACTAAGTATAGCACCAGAGTCGGGCAGCCATCACAACACTGGTGGTCACAAGAGAAGGGAAAAAAAAACACAAGAGGGGAAATATTATTGTGATTTATCCCAGTGAAAACAACTATCTCCTTTTTTTCCTCTTCTTCAATACTTAAAATTTCCTCCCATTTTTATCTTCCTTTCCTGTTTACATTCTCTTGTTTCCCCACCTCCCTCTTTCTTTCTCTCCCTCGTTTCTTCTCCTTCTTTCTTTCTCTTCATTGTTTCTTCTCTCACTTGTTTCCCATCTCCCTCTTTCTTTCTCTCTCTCGTTTCTTCTCTCACTTGTTTCCTATCTCCCCCTTTCTCTCTCTCTCTGTCTTGCTCCCCGTCATTTCTTCTCTCTCTCTTCCTTATTCCACGTCTTCCTTTCCGTTACTATCTCTCTCCCCTCTATAATATTAATCCTCTCCTTCCTTCCTCTCACTCCCCCCCTCCCTCCCCGTAAGTGAGAGACAATCCCATATCTCTTCCTGTCTCTCAAACCCATTTTCTCTAATACCTCATCTCTCCCTTTCCTTTTAAAAGTGAGTCAGTCTCTCACTCTCTCTCCTGTAATTCATTTCCGCTATCACCATCTCTTCCCCCTCTCTCCCTTTATTGTGAGAGACACCTACATATCTCTTCCTGTCTCACCGCAATTTTTTTTTTTGATACCATCTTTCCCCCCTCCCCCTACCTAGGCGTCTCCCCTAACCCGTCTCTCTCTCTCTCTCTCTCTCTCTCTCTCTCTCTCTCTCTCCTCCCCGTTCATCATTCTCTTCCTGTATTCCCTCTTAGTCTTCCTTCTCCCTCGTTCTCTGTTCCCTTCCCATCTCTCCCACACTAGAGACAGTACAGGTATACAGTTGTAGTGAACAGGACGGTAATTTAACCAAAGACGTAGTCGATAAAGCCACCCGGTACTTAATTCCTGTAGGGTTCTTTCCTTAGGTCTTTTCTGAGGTTAATAGTATAGAAACTCACTCTCCCTTCTTGCTGTGGCGTTTCATCATCTATGTACATTTCTAGTTTTAACTCTTAAAATATTTCATAACAACACTGGTTTTAATGTGGTCAGGTAACTTGTTTCAGTTCGTTATACCTGTAAAGAAGACAGATGTTTTTCACTTAACCGGGGGTCACCAGGTTATGTTCACTCCCTCTAGTGCTCTAACCGGTTCATATCCCAAATCCTTATTAAGTTTGTTGTTAGATACTCTGGGAACAGGCCGGTGAATATCCTGTAAACGTGAGTCAGGTTCAGTTGCTTCACTCTAACCACCACACTTGATATGTTCAGTCACCTTTGTGGTCTATTGCTTCCATGTCAAGAATGAACGTCACCATCTTGTTCTGGTGTAAGCAATTTGCCTGATACTGGTTTTCAGGCCTAAAGAAAAAGAACAAGGGTTTACCCGTACACACACAAATACATACACATACACACACACAGACACACACACACACACACACACACACAGACACACACACACACACACACACACCACACACACACACACACACACACACACACACACACACACACACACACACACACACCACATACACACACCTGTGAGCCCCAGGAACGAGCCTTTAGTCTCCAGGAGTATCACGGTAAGCACCAGTAACAAGGGTCATCTGTTCCTAAGCTACACCAAGGGTTGAAACTCTCCCAGTGTGTGTGTGTGTGTGTGTGTGTGCAGGATCATGTGTACGTGTGTGTGTTACTGTACCACCACCATCATCATCATCACCATCATCATCACCATCATCATCATCACCATCATCATCATCATCATCATCATCATCATCATCATCACCACCATCATCATCATCATCACCATCACCATCATCATCATCACCATCATCATCATCATCCTCTATCAGTCCATCGTCCAGTACCAATATACCTCCACAATCTCTCATCCTGGACCTTCCTTCTCCAATCAGAACCTTTATATTTCCTCATGCCACCTAAATCTATATACTGATTGGTCCTTATTTCCTGGTTCTTTTCTATTCTCATACATTCCTGTGTTACCAGGGCGTCACCACAGCTACTAATTGCCCCAGTTACATGTTGTAATAACTTGTACTGTAGGGTGTGGTGTTGTCTCTTGTTCTGCCTCGACGTGTTGTTTTAATACTTCATTTTATGTTTCCTTTAGTCATTTGGAGTTTTTATACCAGATACATGGAGAAATAATAATAATAACAACGACAACAACAATAAATACTACTACTAACAACAACAACAACAACAATAAAAATAATAATAATAATAATAATAATAATAATAATAATAATAATAATAATAACAACAATACAGTGACACAAGGTGAGATACAGTGAACAAAGGCATCAGTTACAGCTGGACAAAGATGAGAGTCACAAGTGGAGTGGCTACTAGTAGTAATTAAAAGGTGTACGTATGTAAGAGGTGTACGTAAGAGGTGTATGTATGTAAGAGGTGGTGTATGTATGTATGTAAGAGGTGTACGTAAGAGGTGTCAAGAGTATAACATTATTTTTTCTTCGCCCTGGGAGAGGCTGGCGGGAGAATAGACAACGAAATACAAGGAAACATTTAACACACAAGAGAATAAGAGATATAATATTGTCTCCCTTCAGGTCTCACTGTGTACCGGGAACTGAGGCACAGGTGTGGCTTGTCACCTGTACCTGCGGTCACATGTGAACACATAACGCTTGCTTTTGAAATATAATAATGATAATAATAATAATAATAATAATAATAATAATAATAATAATAATAATAATAATAATAATAATAATAATAATAATAATAATAATAATAATAATAATAAATAATAATAATAATAATAATAATAATAGTTTAATGACCACCAACACTTACAAACACCAAACTAAACCAAGAACAAAGTCAACAGGGGATTACACTACAACAATGACCAGTGACCTTTGACCTTCACTTAAACCAATAACCTTCTAGGGTGAATTAGGTTCAAAAGGTCAAGTTACTGTCTATTGTACTATTATTAAGAACACCCATCCACACCACCCAGACATTAACCTATCCTGTATACATGGATCTCCAGGTATGGTTGACCTCTGACCTTTATCAATGACCTCCAATCACCAATCAGGTAGAGAATATCATGTATAGTGTATGTATCTAAGATTAGTGTGACCTTTGACCTATCTAATCAACCTTAGGGAAATATAGTGAAAAGTGCCAGAATTTAGCCCCTGACCCTAACTACGTCACGAGGGGGCATAGAAAAACACTGTCTAGACACACAGACAATCTATTATTATCAATTGTCTACCTCTGTTGTTTGCTGTGTTAAGTTAGCCATACATCTTCCTCTCCTGATCTAACAGATAGTGATTTTTCGCACGTGAGGGATATTTCTTATTATTATCCAAGTCACTGACATGGCAACACAAGAGGAAAGTCCCATGTATTAAAGGGACGACTAGACAAACATTCGGCAGATCAAGATGTGGCGTGAAATCAGAGAGCCGTAAACACACATTAACAGCGCCACTGTCTTGACGCTTTCCCCCACGACACACAAACTTAACGCTAATATCTCTTCATCTTGTCTTCCGGTGTCTTCCATGCTTGTGATGAAAATTTTATTCTTTTTCTTTTATTAATATTATAAGTATTTGTTACATCCTGTGTCCCTGACTGCTGTGTTATCTATACGTTCTATCACCCAATTTACGTCAAGTCTCACTTCTTACTGTCCATACCAGCAGCTGATCCAGGGTGCCTGTTATGTTATTATTACTACTATTGCTACTACTACCATTCCTTATTTTTAAACGTGGCCTCCAGCTGTGTTGAGTTAGTTGAGCCGCAGCTCTATGCGGTATTCAGTGACTCTAGCCTTGTAGGCAATATCTGCAACTGTTGTCGGCTTTAGGGCAGATGCTCTCGTTCCCCTGAGGCAGAGCAAAGCAGACCTAAGGAGAGAGAAGGACAGTCGACATCTCATCCAGGCTGTAACATAACTTCTGGGCTGCTGCTTCTGTTCGGATAGCACCTCCGCAAGTCTGGCGTAGAAGCATCTTGCACTTGGTCCCATCCCACCAGAGGTTGTGAACACCAGAGGAGTGAAGTTGCCTTGATCAACGATCTGAATTCTCTCCCCATATGCCCTTATCTTGTCGTTCTCGTTCTTCCTATGTGCAGCAACGAGATCTAAGTTACGGTGACATGCGGCCATGGGATAAAAAAATCCTGATGTCGAAGAAGACTCGCTGTCCCCGCGTCCAGAATCCTAGAGCACTGACATCAACACGGGCTTCGTTGGATGTGTTTGAAGTCCTATGTTGGAAATTCTCACCGTTCAATGGAAGGAGGGTCGGTTCTACCCTGACATCATGACATATTTCCTTCAACATATTTGCAGTTAGATCCCTTATGCATATGAAGCCCTCTTTCTTGCACACCATGGAGTGATTGACGTCATAGAAAGAGACACACGCGCATTGGGAGGGCAAACCTTGTACTGGCCTACCGTACCTTAGAGCAATGGTATCTGTAAAATCTTGTTTATTAAGGCTGAAACCATTTGCCCTTCTGGTAATTGCAGTAACAGTTGCTGCAACTTATCACTTTGGCTGTGCTGTCGTCCTGTCGTAATGGACCTTCGAATCTTGTTTACTTCGCTATTACTACTACTCTACTACTACTATTACTACTATTATTGTCATCATTATAACCATGTCTACTACTATGATTACTACTACTATTATCAAAGCAGAAGTGATCATGGTAGTAACGGCCTCCCCTTTACGTTTCATCATACGCTCAGCAGGACAACAGCTCACCCGCCGGGACACAAGCAGCAGCTGTCGGGCGTCATCTGGTAAACTATCATACCCGGTAATAATAATGATAATAATAATGATAAAAAAAAGGCACAACAGGAACAACGGAAACCGGATTTGAGAGATTTCGGTAGTAATGTTCCGTAAAATATGCCTGGCCCACAATTTACTTCAAATGATGTTTCCTCTCTGTCTCTCTCGGAAAAAAGGGACGGAAACGTAGCAGAAAAAACACCAGATTACTTAAAGATAATTGATAGTGACATACAGGTATTGAAAAGAATAATAATAGTAATAAGTATAATAATATAAAATTGGTAAGGCTGTTCACTAATCTGCAGGTGTGGATTAATCTGCAGGTGTGGATTAATCTGGAGGTGTGGATTAATCTGCAAGTGTGGATTAATCTGCAAGTGTGGATTAATCTGCAGGTGTGGATTAGATTTGCTGTTTAATTTCGTAAAGAGGTGTGTGTGTTTTTTTATACTGACCTCTTCCTCCCCTCTCTCCTTCCTTCCTTCCTTCACACAATCCTTCTACTTAGCTGGAATTGTGAAGGAGAAATGACGTGTTTATAATTCTCTTTCTCTCATCCATCCATTCTTTCCCTTCTGTCTTCCACTTCTCCTTCTATCCCTCCCTCCCTCCCTCTTCCTCATCTCCTTTATCAATCCCTTCTTCACCCTCTCCATCCTCCAACCATCCCTCCACTCCCCCTCCTCCAACCACCCCTCCCCTCTCCCCCCTACTCCCCCCCTCTCTCTTCCAACTATCCCTCCCCCCCTATCTCTCTTTCTCTCCTCCGTCGACCAATCAATGAGCTCCACCTGTCACCAGCCAGACCGTCACACCAGTATCCTCAAGGAGACAATTTCACCTCATATTTTTACTGCGACGAGCCTTAGGTGAGGCTATGGGGCTTAACACAATAATAATAATAATAATAATAATAATAATAATATCAACAACAATAAATATAATAAATTAATAATAATAATAATAATAATAATAATAATAATAATAATAATAATAATAATAACAGTTGCGCTATTCTACAATCATCACAAATGTCATTAATAATTTTTTTCTAATAAGTAATACAGTGTAGCGGTAACTACAGTGACCTGCATTTAACTCAGTATCACAGGTCAAGTGTCAAGTGTTGTCCTGGAGGCAGCAGCGGGCAGGTCACCCACGCCGACCTACTCAAACTTGGTTTCTGTCAACAGGTTATTTTTGCACCCAGTCGAGCTGTGTGGAAGACCTACAAATGGTGTGTCCGTGCGTGAGTCTGCAGGTGTGCGTGAGTGTGTCCGTGCGTGAGTTTCTGTAAGTGTGTCCGTTCATGCGACTGTGCATGCGTCCACCCGTGCGTCTGTACATGCGTCTAGTTGTACATTTGTGCGTCTGTGCAAGCGTCCACCCGGTGCGTCTACGCATGCGTGTGTCCGTGCATGCTTCCGTCCGTGCATCAGACTTCACATCGAACGTTGTATACACTGTATGGGACAGAGAAACAAGTTGTGATGATAATAATTGCTGTCCCTCGTGTTGAAGGCTGGCTGGCCCTGGGGCCACCTTAACGTGAATACGTTTAAGGTGTAGAAGCTGTCGCCAACACCACAACTACATCCTGGGGTAACGCGCTGCATGACCCAGTGTCAAGGAATAATCTAAGAAGACCGGACAACTCGCCAACTGCACTGGCTAGCTAACCATGACTCCGAAAACACGATCTGTAAATCGACTGACGCCCAGGTTCCCAATTACTGCTAGGTAGAAAGAGGCGAATGGCGTAAAGAAACTTGCCCTTAGTTTCACCCTTCCCGGGGATCGAACCTTGGACCACTCAGTTGTGAGGCAAGCATGCTGCCACCCCCCCTCCCCCCCACACACGAAACTGGTAAGCTGAGAGATAAAAAAGATAGACTAAAATATAAATAAACAGACAGACAGGTGCAGCAAAAGAAGTATAAACACACAGATTAAAAAATTAATAAACAGACAAAACAGATTTAAAGAAGCACTGACAAACAAAAACAAAACTGATATATAAAAAAAACACCAGATGAAAGAGAAAGGGTTAAGCCCCGCACACAGGCAGCTATACAAACAATATTACTCCATCTGTTTCATCAATTGTGTAATACTGGACGGCGACTCTCGCTCAAAACACATTTAAATTTCAAATTAGGATTCGACGCCGAACCTGAACTAAAGTTTAAAAAAATCTTTAAATGTGTGTGTGTGTGTGTGTGTGTGTGTGTGTGGTCTAAACTATCCTGACCTCAACTAACTACCTTAAACCTCTGATTGCTATGGACAACTTAAGTATTTTAGTCGTTAGCCTATTCTTATCTTACCTAAGTTACATCTCACTTAACCTAATCTAACCCGACCTAACCTAACCTAACTTAACTTAACCTAACCTAACCCGACCTACCCTAAACTAACCTATCTTCTTTGACGTTACCTATCCTATCCTATCCCAATACTAACTCCACCTACCCTACCTCACCCTGCCCTACCTCACCCTACCCTACCTAACACTACCCTACCATACCTCACCCTACCCTACCTCACCCACCCTACTCTACCCTACCCAACCCCTACCCTACCTCACCCTACCCCCTACCCTACCCTACCCTACCTAACACCACCCTACCACCTCACCCCTACCCTACCCTACCTCACCCCTACCCTACTCTACCTCACCCTACCCACTCCCCACCCACTCCTACCCTCACCCCACCCTCTTACCCCTACCCTACCCTACCCTACCCCTACCCTATCCCATCTCTACCTCACCCCTACCCCACCCTTACCCCTACCCAACCCAACCCTATTACCCTACCCTACCTCACCCTACCCTACCCTATTTCCCACTACCCTACTCCCTACCTCACCCTTACCCCACCCTACTCCCCTACCCTACCCTACCTCACCCCTACTCCTACCCCTATCCTAACACCCCTACTCATATCTAAATTGACTCACACTACCTCACCAGTAGACTCCAGAAGGGCCTCTATACTGCCTGGTCACCAATCTTCACACATCGTTACCAGAAGAAAAAAACAAGAAAACGAGCTTTGTGTAGTAGTACCGAGTGAGGAGGTGAACTTATAGCGCGCTGGCAACACTGTCTGGGTAAGAGAGAGAGAGAGAGAGAGAGAGAGAGAGAGAGAGAGAGAGAGAGAGAGAGAGAGAGAGAGAGAGAGAGAGAGAGAGAGAGAGAGAGAGAGAGAGAGAGAGTAAGAGAGAGAGAGTATATATATACCAACACAAACAACATACTCTATATACCTGTTTAAGGACGACCAGCGACACCCACACCCACACCCACACACCCACACACCCACACACCCACACACACACACACCCACACGCACACACACACACGTACTGCTAAAGCCATACCAACAGCCTCAAATATTCACACTTTCCTTCCCACCTCTCCGTCACAAGAGACCCCGAGAACGTATCTAGTTAAGGTAAAGTCTCGGTGTAATTTCTGTCTGTCTGGTTGTCTGTCTGTTTATCTGTCTGTCTTTTTTTAAATCTCTATTTCTGTCAGCCTGGTAGTGATGGTGGTAGTGATGGTGGTAGTTACTGGGTGGTAGTAGTAATGTTGATGATAATAGTTGTATTTGTGGTCATTCCCCCCCCCCTGCTGTTGTTGTTGTTGGTGGCAGTAGTAATGGTGGTAGTGGTGGTGATGGTGGTATAGATAGTGGTAGCAGTTATGGTAATGGTGTGATGATGGTAGGGGGTGATAGTAGTAGCTATATAATGGTGTTGGTGATGGAAGTGATAGTGGTAGCATTGATGATGATGATGATGATGATGATGACAGCAGCGATGGTGTTGATAATAGCCATAGATGTATAATGTGTAATCTGTTATCTCTCTCTCTCTCTCTCTCTCTCTCTCTCTCTCTCTCTCTCTCTCTGCCGTGTAGGAAGAGGGAAAAGGAAGAAACAAGTAGAGGACGGGAGGGAAGAGAGCAAACAGTGAGAAGGTGAACGAGAGAGGAGAAGAAGTGAGGCGATAGAGAGGGTAAAAGAGAAGGGAGATGAGAGGTAAAGAGGGGAATAACGATGGAAGAGGAGAAGGGAGAGGGGAGGGAAAGGAGAAGAGGAGGGGAAAAACGATGGAAGGGGAGAAGGGAGAGGGGAGGGAAAGGAGAGGGGAAGAACGATGAAAGGGGAGAAGGGAGAGGAAAACAAGACAAATGACCAAAAACTGTGTCAAGATAAAATAATCACAAGGGTATATACCAACTTTGTCTCTCCCCTCACCATCCCTCACTCTCTCTCCCCTTTCCCCTCACTCTCCCTTCCTTCTCCCTCTCTCTCTCTCTCTCTCTCCTTCCCATCACACTATTTTCTCGTCCTCTTTCCTTAATTTATCTACCAATTATTTTTTTACTGTCTCTTTTCCCTTACCTCCCACCCTTCCCCTTCCTTCCCTACCTCCCACCCTTCCCTTACCTCCCAACCTTCCTCACCCCTTCTCTTACCTCCCTGTCCCCTCCCCTCTCCCTTTCCCTTACCTCCCAATCTTCCCTCACCTTCTCTTACCTCCCTGTCCCTCCCCTCTCCTTTCCCTTACCTCTCACCCCTTCCCTCTCCCCCCTTACCTCCCTGTTTCATCCTTCCCCTACCTCCCACCGTTCCCCTCTCCCACCCCTTCCCCTACCTCCCACCCATTCCCCTCCCTCCCCACCGTTCCCCTACCTCCCACCCCCCCCCCACACTCACAGTTCCCCTACCTCCCCACCGTTCCCCTCTTCCACCCTTCCCCTACCTCCCCACAGATTTCCCCTCTCCCCACCGTCCCCTCTCCCCACCCCTTCCCCTACATCCCACCGTTCCCCTACCTCCCACCATTCCCCTCTTCCACCCTTCCCCTACCTCCCTGAATTCCCCTCTCCCACCGTTCCCCTCTTCCACCCTTCCCCTACCTCCCCACCGTTCCCCTCTCCCACCTTTCCCCCCTACCCCTCCCACCCTTCCCCTCCCACCCCTTCCCCTAC